CATTTTTCTGGCCTTTGCTAAGTGCTTTCTGGCAATGCCGACATCCCATCAATCTGCTCTCTCAGGATGTGGTCCAGAAAAACAGATCCCAGGTTTGGACACCTTTTATGTTGCCAGCCACTTCTTGCCATGTCCTCCTTTTGTTTCCAAACTCACACCCCCACCCCCGCTCCACGAGGCAAAGGGCTGCCTGGGCACCTGGCCCAAATGCTCAGAGTTCCCCCTTCCTTTGCCCAGCCCCAGAGATGCCGTCAGATCTCTGTGTCCTTCCTCTGTTAGAAGGGTGAGTGTGGGGAGCCCTGGCAGCCCCCGACTTGCAGGTTTGGTTTATCCTAATCACTTCGGAGCTGGACTTGAATTCAGGGCAGCAGGATCCTTGTAGGTGTGTGCTTGGGCGCGGGTGTCTTGCCCCTCCCTTCCTGCCAGCACCGTATCCTGAACCTTCCCTGTTTCCTCGTGGCCTCAGCTCTCTGAGGGTAATAATAAGAGGACCTCCTGACAGTGCAGTGTGCAGTGCCTCAGAGGGAGCCAGCAGCCCCACTGCAGCCCCTGCTCCCTCGAATGTTAACACAGCCCCACCCCCAGGGGGACTCCAGGGTGGAAAACTTCTTCCCACTGTCCAGAATCTCGATCACGTGTTCTTGCCCACGTGTTCTTCCAGTGGCGCTGTTTATTCACTCTGCTCTTGCTCCCCTCTGACTGGCTCTCAGCTCCTCCTCCTCTGTCTCCTTGTCTGCAGGGTTTGCCTCCTGCTCTGTTTACTCCACACAGACCAGGAGTTTCACTCGTAGCTGCAGGCATGCCTCAGCGGTCCCAGAGTTTGTGATGCGGATGTAACCAGGGGGTCCTATCAGACATAATGAAACGTGGCCTATCTCTACCTGAAGCAGCCCTCACTGCCCTTGAGTAAAGTTCCAGGTCCTTACCTTGCCTTATAAGGCCCGGGCCCTGGCCCCTGACACTGGACAGCTTCCATTCCCGCAGTACGCCCTGTGCTCAAGTCTCTGCACATGCTCTTCCCTCTGCCAGAATGTTCTCAGATCCACTTTCCCCCTCCTTTTCATTTTTGGAGACTCTGCTTCAATGTCATTTGAGCACAGGGACATACATCCCTTCCCAGGCCTTGCCAAAGACCCTTGCCATACCTGCCAGGGCTCCATGCTTTTGCTCTTAGAACAGCCATGACATTTATGCATATTTTTCATTGTGTCTAGTGGGAGCTGAGGGCTGGACGTTCCCTGTGTCCATTGGCAATAGAGTTGGCCCACCTTTGCCATGCAGAGGCTGTGGCGGGGTGAGTCTGTTGCTCTGTAACTTCCATGACGACAAGAGCCAGGTCTGTCCTGTGTGTCACTGTCTCTTTCCCCACCAATGCCATTGTTGGGCCAGAGAAAGGCTCATAAATACTGGGACTAGCTGCAGTGGGAGGCTGTGGCAGCTCCCCCCAGCCTGTGGTGTTGGCAGATACCGCAGTTCTCTTGAGGACTTTCCTTGCAGACTAGCCTGGTTCCTCCTATTTGCTGGGGACTCAGGGAGTATAGGTGATACTTATCCCTGTGTCTGCCCAGAGAGCGGCCAGCCTGGCTTTGGGCAGCAACTCAAAAGAAATGAGTGTGTGTGTGTGTGTGTGTGTGTGTGTGTTTGAGAAAGAGAGAGAGAGAGAGGGAGGGAGAAAGGAGGTGTTGATGAGGGAGTCCCTGGTGACAGATGAAGGGAAGGGGGAACAGAAATGTTCTGGAATTCAGTGTGTCTTCACAGAGTGCTTCCTGTATAACACTGTGAGCAGCTGCTGGCCCGGGGCCTTGCTGGGGGCTCTTGGATGTGAGGAAGCTGTGGTTTTGGCCCTCAGGGACCTTCTGCCCTGTTCCTGTGTTTCCTGGCTACAGCTCGAGAAGGGTTCTGCTGTAGATCCTGGCCGCTCCTTGCGGGGACTCCTGTCACTTGTCACCCAGTGCCCTCACTTGGGTGCCTGGCCCCATACCACTGTGACATGTTGATGGGTCGTAATGCCCTGTGTCCCTAGCCAAGTGTGAGCCCTCTGAAAGCAGAGATGTGTGCAATGTCGATGACACAGGTGTTGCCTGGCATGTACATTGATCGCACAGAGATTGTCGGGAATGAGCAACTGTGTGTTGGCTCTCTGCCTCTGCTTTCTCCATCCTCGGTGGTTTTGCTTTCCTTGAATGTGTGTGGGTACTATTGAATTTATTCATTATTAGGACAACCTCGCATACCACAGTTCGCAGTCAGACTTTGTGGACACCAAGGCTGCGCTCCGATCAGATGACTACCCTCCCCAGTAGTGATGGAAACGAGAAGCCACCCCAGTGGTCGGATCACACATCAAAACATCTGACTCCATGAAATTAGGCCCTGATGTGGGGGGTGCCATTGTACTGTTTATTCCCAAGAGTGTGTGGCTTTCTAGAGCTTGCGTGCCTGTTACCACAGCTATCTAGGCAGCTGCTAGCTGTCTGTCTAACCAGAGGGCAGAGTCGCTGCTTAGGGGGAAGGAAATAAGACAGTGGGGTGCATGTAGGCTGGAGTCAAGCAACCATCAAATTCTGGATCCTTCCTCCTTTGTCTGCCCCGTCTCCTGGGGATGGTGAATAGACACAGACTTATGGCAACCAACTGGGCCCGTCTCCCTCTCAGTGATAAAGCCGCGTGGAGGCACCCTCGCTGTTTTGCGCCATATGTTCACCAATTAAAACTCAAATGCACGCCACATGCTAGGCTGTTGGGAACACATTTTTGTTTTGATGTGGCTATTCTGAAGTTAATGTGTGCAAGAGCAGATGCTTTCTGTCAACCAAATGATGGCACTGCTCTTGCTAAAACTATGCTTTTGCCATACTTGTGAAACAGAGAGGGTTTTGTATCTCTTTGCTAAATACTCTATTATCAGATGAAAAAGAATTTACCATAAAAGTTCCTTCAACACCAAAGGGAATGTTTCTCAAAGGCATGCTCACTCTTTCCCTGTACCAGCCCAGTTTCTGCTTTTAAGGAAAAGTGCCTGACACGCCCATTCTTAGGCATGTGGGTTCACGTTCACGGTCATGCCCTATGGTTTCCTCCTGCTGCTGCCAGCCAATGTGTCTCTGCTCGAAAACATGGCCATCATATCGCCAGGTCCTATAACCATCCCTCTTGGAGACATCCAGTACAGACAGTCAGTAGACAGCAGAGGCCTTTGCTGGCCCCAGCTCCCAGGACACCAGACTCCTGTGTTAGGCTTGCGTCCCCAGCAACAGAAGCACGAGTCATCAAGCCACGGGCAGACAGAAGAGCGAGGCCCTCCATCCTCTACAGCCATTTTTTTTTTTGTTACCTGAAGGGCACTTGGGGAAGGGGTCCCACCAAGGCGTACTTTTTCCCTGCAGTGGTTGGAAGTTACTCAGGGATAGAAGGAGAGGTTGGCATCCCATCCTTCCCACTGTCTGCCTGCCTCCCTCCCAAATTCCCTGGCACATTCTCAGGAGAAGGCAGCCTGAGTGCAGACGAGGGGCGGGGGTGCTGGGCCCAGTGAGTCCTGGCAGGACGACTTCTTGCCGGGAGGCAGAGGGCAGCAAGGCGCCTTGCCCAGTGAGGACTGAGCCTTTCTCTCCCATAGTAATGCCACTGCTTGGCCTACGGGGGCCTGCTGTGCACACCCCACTGCCATCCATCCCTGCTCACCTGAGCTGGCAGGGCAAGATACCCCAGAGAGAGAGCTCCCTGGTCTGCTTGTTCTTATGGGGTCTGCGCAGGTCTCTCACAGTTCCCGCCACATGCAAATCTCATCTGAATTTGTGTGTGCCTAGAACTCTTGGGGCACATCGCCGGGGTTCCAGCGGTGTGGCTTTGCCCACATCAGTCAAAGACCCTCGGGGGTAACCTGTCTAACTCCTCTGGCCTTTAATGCAGCAGTGGGCTCAGAATGTTTTTGTATTCCCAATCCTTCAGCTACTTCTCCACAGCTCACAGCTGACAATTTTTTTCCAGTAAAAACATGCAAAGAAAGCCACACTGTGCCATTGCCCCTCCCCAGAGGGTGGCACACAGGAGTAAGAGTGTTTTACCTTGGTGCAAGCAGCGGGTCTCCAGTCTTGATAGGTTTACACATAGTTCTGTGCCCATGAGGGATTTTTCTACATAGCTTCCAAAATGATGGATGGATTTACAGTATGAGCAAGCACATCAAGCAAAGGGCGACAGGCCTCACTCACTGCTGTAGCCGCTGATAGAACATCGGGCTGCTACGTGCTTACCAGCTTAATTCATAGTGGATTTTCCCCTTTCCCCTGAAGAGACAGAAGGATCATATATATCAGTTTTCTATTGCTGATAACAAATTAGCACAAAAATAGCAAATCAAAATGGCCCCCATTTATTATCTCAGAAGTCCAGCATGGCTCAGCTGTGCTCTTGGCCTTGCATATTGGCCTTACATATTGCAAGGCCATGGTCAAGGTTGTGATGGCTGGGCTCCTATGGGGAGGCCCCGAGAAGATTCCACCTCCAGGTTCATTTAGGTTGTTGGCAGAATTCAGGTTCTTGTGCTTGTAGAACCAGAGTCCCTGTTCCTTGCTTTCCGTCAGCCAGGAATCACTCTCAGCTTCTTAGAATTCATTCCTCATCAACATGGTCCCTCTGCCTTTAAAGCAGCAGTGTTGTGTCAAATCCTTCTCCTGGTTGTAATCTCTCTGATGTCCTTTTCTGCTGCTAATCAGCCTATTTCAGAAGGCTCCTGGGACTGGAGCAACCCCATCTAGATAATCTCTAGGCTTTATTGTCAACGGACTTGAGACTTGAATATTAGCTGCACAATCCCTTCCTAGCAGTGCTTTGACATGTCTTTGATTGAATCGACAGGGGACAGGAGTCTTCAGGACCAACTGTAGAATTCTGCCTACCACGCACAGCAGAGAAATCAGCCTCGCATCCATCCTCACACCTCACTCGACCCTTCCGAGATATTCCTGTTGTGATTGTATCTCCATTGTTGTCTCCACCAGTGAGCACCAGGGATCCTGCACCCGAACCAGAGGCAGAACCGGATCCAGAGGCAGAGACGGGGCAGGTGGCTGATGAGGCCAACCAGGAAGTAGCCCCTGCCCACGTGGGGACAGAGAGCGAAGTGGAGCAGGAGCCAGAAGAGCGAGCCTCCCTCAGTGAGAAAGAGAGGCGGAACGAGGAGGTGAACGAGAGGGACAACTGCTCTGCCTCCAGCATCTCTTCCTCCAGCAGCACCTTAGAGAGGGAGGAGAAGGAGGAAAAGCTCTCCAGGGACAGGGGAACTGGTAATGAAGCCCCTTTTCTCCATAAATATTCCAAGGAACCCTGGGGCAGGGGACCTTGCGTGCTGGCCTCTGAGGTGACTTGGCTCAGCTCACTCACTGGGCTGTGTCACCTGGGCTCCGGGGGTGAGGAATGTGACCACACCATCAGCCAGCCAGCCTGCAGCTTCCTGCCCCATAAAGCAGGGAGTAGGGGGCGGGGCATCCCCATGCCCTCTGCAGTGCTGTTACATCGTCACTTCCATAGGTGAGAAAGGGCCCGATGTTGAGGGAGACAGAGGACTTTTCCTTGGGAGTCAGCCCCAATTTCCTCATTTCCCTCTAATTGTTTATACAAAGTGTAGTTTCTTTCTGATTTACATTTAGAGGCATGTCATATTGCTATCTACTCACTTGAGTTTTCTTAATGAAGTATGACTGACCATTTCAGACCAATGCAAATTTGTTTAGAAAGAATCAAATGAGGACTTCCAAAACGTGGCAGTTCGCAGTGTGCTGAGGTCCATTTGTTGTGCTCTACTGGAACAGACGGAGTTTAAGTAATTTTGTACAATATACTCAGGGCCACGCTTTTCTTTGGTATAAAGTACATGCCTTTCCTTATGGAATTATATCTTTTTGGCATTATATTTGATGTTCAGTTCACCTATGTAATGGCGACTTTATGATTAGGGATTAAGTGAAATGTTAGTGCTCCACAGGGACTTGGGCAGGAAGCCCATGCTGGCCCTGTTAAGTCACAGACTTAGAATACATGGTCTTGGAGCACGGGTGAGTGGATGAAAATTGAATGAATGAATGGAACCATAATGTCTCCCATGAGACCTGTCAATCAATGGCTTGGTCTAAAATAGTTAATAGTTGAGTTTTCACCAGTTACAGTATATTAGATTTCATTCTCTGTGATGCTAGTCACTATGATGCAGTTTAAGAAAATTGACAGAAAGATTTTATTAGTTTATATCTGAGGAAATATTGCATTGAAAATCTTGTGTCTGGTTGAAGATGTATGTGCTAAAAGGTATTAAATATGTTAATCCTTAATTTCTTTCAAAGTCAGACAGTTAGTCTCCCACACTCTACTTGTTTATTCACACTTACTGTAATTATGGTCATAGTACAAAGTGTTGGGTAAGTCTTCTTGATCCATTAGTCCTTAAAATCAGTCTTATTCATTTTGAACAACTTTCAGAATTATTTGTCATGACTAGATTAAGCAGGCCTGAAACATATTGACAAGTTGGCTTAGTAAAAATAAGCCAGGGAACAGGACTTTCTTAGATCAGATTGTCCCAAGTTCTTCCGAATAAAGACAACTTTCCAAAAATGGAGACTCTGCTCCCAGTGAAGGCCCATTGACTTTCTAACGAGAGCTGGTGGTGTCCGAGTATATACACTCAGGAATTAGGGCTTTGCAGTGATTTTTTCTGCTTTAGTCTGGTGCTTCTAAGGGATGTGCCCATGTTTATATGTGGTAGCTCTTTGGCTCTGAAAAAATCCCACTGCTCACAAACGCCATTAGCAGCTGTGGGGTCAGGACAGCTCTCTCAGCATAACTCTTACTTTTCAGAATGTTCTCAGCTAAATCACAAAGTCAATCAAGATGATTTCCAATCATATGCTAATGATTGTATCTATTATTCAAAAATGAGCTTATGAGGCTTGAAAGAGATTCAACTTATTCTGGGCTGTTTAGTTCTCTCTGTTTCATGTGTTCTGTTCCATGCAAAGTTGTGTAAAGAGGCGTTATCATAGCATTCATGACTCTTTGTTGTAATTACATGTATAACTGTCCTTTGTCTCCACTTGAATGTAAGTTTTGGGAGGATGGGGATGTCTGTCTTGTTCATTGTGAATTCACACTTCCCAGCTGGGTGTTCAGAGCATAGTAGGGGCTCACAAAACCATTGCGGATAAATGAATGAAGAGGCATCTAGCTAAGACGGAGAAGCTCCATTGTTCCCAGGTTCTCCCTCTCACAACTAAAATAATAAGCACTCTGGGCATACAGAGCAGCCAGTCATAGGAAGACCCTGAAAGGGGGAAAGAAGAAGACAGACTGTCTAGGGTCATTCAGACTTCAATGATGTGGCAATGAAGCACCAAGTGCACTTATTCCTCTAGCCAAAGAATTGGGAAAGGCATTGCTAATGGAACGGAAAATCTTTTTGGCTATTAATACATTCCCCACCCTAGACCAGCCCTAATGGAAAACCTGCTGCTGTCCTATCCCCACCCTCTGCCCCATAGCTTCCAAATAACCAGATGCATCAACCATGAATTCTACATCCAGCAAAAGTAACATTTAAGAATGAAGGGAAAAGCCCTGGCTGGCATAGCTCAGTGGATTGAGCATGGGCTGTGAACCAAAGTGACACAGGTTCGATACCCAGCCAGGGTACATGCCTGGGTTGCAGGCTATAACCCCCAGCAACCACACATTGATGTTTCTCTCTCTCTCTCTCTCTATCTCCCTCCCTTCCCTCTCTAAAAATAAATAAATAAAATATTTTAAAAAAGAATGAAGGGAAAATAAAATAGAGTTAAAGAAAAACTAAGAATTTGTCACTAGCAGACCTACTCTTAAATAATGGGTAAGGAAGTTTTCTGAACAGAAAGAAAGGACAACAGAAGACTTGAAATTTCAGAAAGGAACAGTTGACTGGGTAAATTAAAAAGGATATGTTTGTTTTTTGAGTTTATTAAATTATATTTGATGGTAGAAGCAAAAATTATATTTGATGTTGTGTTCAGTATATGTAGAGGAAATATGACAATTATATTTCAAAAGTGGGGAAAGTAAAGGGATTTAAATGCAAGTAAGTTTTCTACACTTCAAAGTAGTAAAACATCAATACCAGTAGACTAATGAATTCATGTATATATTGTAATAACTAGAGCAACAGCTCACCCACTGGGAAATTTACATGAGGCAACATACTGCAAAGCACAACAAATAAATTGAGATCCTAAAAATGTTCAAGTAAGCCACTGAGACCAAGAAGGGAGAAAGAGGAAATGACACAAAGGGGAAAAATGAAACAAATACAATGTCAGACTCAAGCACTAACATATCAATAATTACTTTAAATTAAAAGACAGATTTTCATAGTAGATGAAAATACAACCTAACTCTATGCTGTCCATACAAAACTCACTTCGAATATAGTGATGTGGGCAGATGAAAAGTTAAAGCTGGAAAAAGAGATAACATGTCAACATTCATAAGGAAAAGCAGGACTAGTTCTATTAATATTAGACAAAGTAGAGTTCAGAGCAAAGGGAAAAACCAGGAGTAAAGACACACACTACGTAATGATATAAGAAGACCTAAAGGAATGAAGAGACTGAGAAAACCAGCACTGAAAATGTTACCTTATTATGCTGCTTTCCCTGTTGCCAGAATCAGAAAGTGCCAACACTGCCCAGTAAGTGGAGAAAGAGTGAGGCAGTCTGGTGGGAGGGCCTCAACCACGTCATCTGCCACAGCCTCCTGGTGCCAGAGCAGCCTCTCTGTTCACAGGACCAATGACCAGTGGTCGGCACTCCAGATAAGCAGATTTGTCTGCCATGTGCTCACACCATCTCCTGGCTCTTCGATGGTGGTCACCTCCCAAGTGTTTTTGTTTGTGGAACCTACAAGAGGGCTCCACAGCTTCTTGTTCTGGTGTTGGTCTCTTGGAGAGGCAAGGCCACTGTTACAGCAGAGCACAGAGGACAGAGCCACACTGGAAGGAAGAGACCACAAAGGGGCCTTTGTGCTTCCCACTATACACCACCTCCAAGAGCAAGGCAGACACTTGTGGGAGGGACCAGCATGTCTGATCAGGCTCTTCTCCTTTGGTAGCATGAAAGCTCCTGATGCTTGCGTCCCGGGCCTAGGTCTCCTCCCACCTCCCAAAACAAGTGTCCACGGGGACCCTAGATATCTAATGGGACTCACATCCTGAAATGTCCACCCTGCAGTCCTGCTGGCCCTTAGGAATAAACTCAGAGGAATAAGGTCCTGACCATTCATTCATACATTCATTCATTCATGCTAGATGCTGGGGATACAAGTGTGAACAAAACACACCGAAATCCCTGCTCTTGTCAAGTTTGCATTCCAATGAAGAGGACAGTTGAGCAAGTAATTATAATTGTTTCAGTAATGAGACAAAGACAGCAATACCTTTGTATGGAAGATTAGATAGTATTAAGTGCTTTGGTGAAAAATAAAGGCAGGAAAGGGTGCTAAACAGTGTTGGGGAAAGAGAGGAGTTGCCCAATTTTAAATAAGGTGGTTGGGGAAGACTTCACTGAGAAGATACTATTTGAGCAAAGACACAAAGGAGGTTGAGAAGCAAATTGTGTGATTAACTGGATGCAGTTTGTCTCAGAGGGGCAAAGACCCTGAGGCCGGTCATGCCTGCTGAGTTCTGGGAATGTCAAGGAGCTACTGTAGTTGAAGATGTTTGTGTGTGCCCGTCTGGGGTGGTGGCAGTAGATGAATGAAAATTAGGGTGAGACCCCACAAGGCTTGTAAACATTGTGAGGTTATTGCATTTTTGTCTCAGTGAAATGTGACACCATTAGAAGGCTTTGAGCAAAAAGATATGATCGGATCTTTTAACACATCACCTGGGTGTCGTATATATAGATGGAGAGCTGATGGCAGAGCGACCAGAGCCGAAGCTGAGACCGGTGAGGACTTGCAGTGTTGAAGGCAAGAAACCACCCTGGCTCAGCCCGGGTTGTGACAGGGGAGGTAGTAAGAAAAGTGGGTGGATTCTGGATAAAACATGACGATTTAGCTAACAGGATGCCCTGCTGTGCTGGATGTGTGGGCTAAAAAAAGAGGAGGAGTCAAGGATGAGTCCAAGGTTTTTTGGAATTGTCAGAAAGAAGGATGACGTTCCCATATTTCAGACAGGAAACAGTTGTGGGATAAGCAGGTTCAGTGAAGGGAATGGGCATGAGGGCGGAAGGTGGTGTTTAAAACCCTGAGACCGGATGAGAGGGTGACTAAGAGAGTGAGTACAGAGGGAAAGAAGAGATCCGGGGACATTTCAAGGGTAAAGATGAGGAGGAACCAGCACGGGACACTGAGAAGGAGCAGCCAGAAAGAAAGAAGCAAACCAGCCGAGTGCAGCGTCCAGGCAGCCAACCGAAGGATGTGAGTGAGGGAGGAGAGCGGGATTGGCTGGGGCTAGTACCAGAGGCCAGCCATCGGCCACCTGGAAGGGAGCAGCTTTGACAGATAGTAGGAGCAAAAACTTCCTGAGTCTGGTTCAAGAGAAAATAGGGAGGAATTGGAGACAGTGAGAGGGGGGAAAAAAGCACCTCATAATAAGCATCTTTACTTTAAAGGAAAGGAGAAATTTGGATTTTAGTAGGAGGGATAAGTGGAGTTAATGAGGTTTTGTTTTGTTTTGTTTTGTTTTGTTTTTTTGCTTGTTTGTTTCTTTTATTTTTAAAAGATTTTTTTCCTTTTAGAGAGGGGAAGGGAGGGAGAATGAAAGGGGGAGAAAGAGAAGGAGAGAAACATCAATGTGTGGTTGCTTCTCATGAACCCCTACTGGGGACCTGGTCTGCAATCCAGGCACGTGCCCTGACTGGGAATCGAACCGATGACCCTTTGGTTTGCAGGATGGCACTCAGTCCACTGAGCCATACCAGCCAGGGCTGTTTCTTTTTTAAGATGGGTGAAATTGTACCATATTCATTTGTCATTAGGAAGGTCTAATGGGAAGAGCGTGGAAGATCAGGAGAGAGAATTGCTGGAGTGGTTTCCAAATAAACAAGTAGAACTATTGACTCCTGCTGAGAGGGACGGTTTATCAGCAGTCACAGGAAGGGGGTTGTGGTTGGTGTTCAGGTGCAGGGGGGTGGGTGGAGGCAGAATGAACACACTGGAAGGTCTCTTCTGACTTTGTTGAGTTGTTGAACAAGGAAGCAGTGGCATGCTTGTGTGAGGATGAGATGGAGAGAGGAAGGGTGTGCAAGTGCCTCTAGGAGAGGTCTTGAATAAGACTGCCAAGCAGCTTTAAGAGTCTCCTGAAGACTAGTGACTGTGAACTTAAAGTGCAACCAATGGCATGGTCTGTGCATTTCTCCAGATGATTTGAGTTGCTCTGGTGCAGATGTGGAGTAAGGGGAGAAGTGGAAGTAACTCTACAGCCTCTCCCACACCCCTGTTGGGAGTGGCTGTTGGGGAAGGAGCATCTTCCTTGCCTCCCTGTGTCTGGTTAGGATGAAAGCCCTGGGTTGCCTGACCAGCTGTCATGGGTGAGTAGAAGGAGCAGGACAGTTTCTCCCAAGAGCTTGGGCAGGAGCCACAAGGAGTGTCACACTTAACAAGGGTCTTGGGCCCTGGAGCAGGTCACTGGGAGTTAAATGGCAGCATCTCCACCTGCTCAAGAGCATTTTGTCAGCCATGACCACCTTCCCCTTCAATTGCCTTGTTTCTGTGTGGAAAGCCCACCTCTTACCTTGTTGGTTTTCTCATGGTATCGAGGCCCCTGCCACTTTCTCATTTTTCTCCCCTGTATGCTTTCAGGTTTGTGGTCTGCAGGTGTCCAGGATGCCAGTGTAAATGAACAGTGTGGCGACATCCTCACCAACAAACGGTTCATGCTGGACATGCTGTATGCCCATAACAGAAAGCCCACCGATGACGAGGAGAAGGGCGAGGGTGAGCCCGCGGGGACTGAACAGGGGGCGGAGGCAGTGGCCAGCCTGGCCAGCAGGATATCCACCCTGCAGGCCAACTCTCTGGCCCAGGACGAGAGCGTCAGGAGGGTGGACGTTAGCTGCCTGGACAATCGGGGCAGCGTGAAGGCCTTCGCCGAGAAGTTTAACAGTGGGGACCTGGGGAGAGGGTCCACCTCCTCGGACACGGAGCCCAATGACAAGGTCCCGGAGAAAGCATCCGCACAGCCCAAGACGGAATCTGACTACATCTGGGACCAGCTCATGGCCAATCCAAGGGAGCTCAGAATCCAAGACATGGATTTCACTGACCTGGGGGAGGAGGATGACATTGACGTCCTGGACGTGGATCTGGGTCACGGAGAGGCCCCGGGGCCGCCTCCCCCGCCCCCACCTACCTTCCTGGGTTTGCCGCCCCCGCCCCCTCCGCCCTTGTTGGACAGCGTGCCTCCCCCTCCAGTCCCCGGTAATTTATTGGCTCCTCCTCCAGTGTTCAATGCTCCTCAGGGCTTAGGGTGGCCCCAGGTACCCAGGGGTCAGCCGGCATTCACCAAGAAAAAGAAGACCATCCGTCTGTTCTGGAATGAAGTGCGGCCTTTTGAGTGGCCGTGTAAGAACAATCGTCGCTGCAGAGAATTTCTATGGTCAAAACTGGAACCTATTAAGGTGGATACTTCGAGGCTGGAGCACCTGTTCGAGTCTAAATCTAAGGAGTTGTCCGTCTCAAAGGTACCAATTGCATCTAGCATGCTTCTTGATTTGCAGAACTGTTTTCTGTTCTTAAGTAGGACTGAGAGATTTGTTGTATATGAAATTCTGTGTCTGGCTGTGTTGCTTCTGCTATTTGATTTTTTAAAGGTGATTAGTATAAAAATCTGACCTTTAATATACTAGTTACTGTTTGTGCTACATCCTAGGTTTAAGCTAAATGATGACAGGACCTTCATAGCTAACAGAGGCTTGCTGACACAGTTAGGCAAAGTAGCTTTCAAAGACCCAAATAACCTGGAGAAAATGACAAAAAGATTAACACAGGAATGCTTGCATAGCCCAGCAGCAGGCACTGCCCTCAACCAGAGGAAAGCAGACTTGCTAACTTACCAAACACGCGGGCTTTATCCTGGAGATGTGTTTAATTACTCTTACCTCGGTAGGAGTTTGAACCTCAGCTGTAACCGTGCAATGTTTTTGCAAAATCTATATTTCAAGTGGCATTTCTCTGGATAATCCCTGGCTGAATCAGCATGATGCAGCTACCTAGAGGTTTCCAAATAGCCAGAGAGTTAGTGTCCTATAAATATTACGTATCCATCTAGATTTCTTATTTTTCACAAATGTCTGAGAATTCTGTAGGCTTTGCTGCTGTGGTATTTTTAATAGAGATGTCTACTTTTATAAATAGAAAGGAGTGTACATGAAATTATTAGGCATTAAGGGTAAAGTCATGGTTAATGAATACCAACAAAGAAGCTGCAACAGACTGGATCACAGATTTTATGTCTAATGATGCACTGCATCAACAAGGTCTTCTTTATGTACCTCAAAAAACTGCTTTTTAAAAAACAAACACACTTGTGATTCGGAGTGTGTTAGTTTTAAAATAGGTTTAAGACTATCCTCTCTTCTCAGGGTCAGGGAGTGTAAGAAAATACTTTGTGAACTATAATTTAGAGTGAACATTCAAGAACATATTCTCATGAATTAGTTCTAGCTCCACGTGCTTCTCCATTTGTCCTCGTTTTGGGTGAGTATAAAGCTGCCTGAGTCAGACTCCCTGACCCACCAGCTGGGCACCTCTTCTGAGTCAGAAAGCGTGTGCAGCATCCTCAGGACAGGAGTGCCCTCCAGACAAGGAGTCCAGGGACAGAGTTCGTGTCTGTCACCTCCATGTTTTGCTGACAGGCCAGGAAGGGGAGCTGTAATTGGCCGACTTCCTGTTGTCAGGGCAAGGGAGGGGTCTGGAACAGTACTTGCTGCTCTTTCCGAGTCGGCCTTTACCGCGGTGTGGTGTCACTTTCTGCCCAGTCTCAGGGAGGTTGGGAGTGAGAATCATCTCCAGGCTCAGGAATCCCCCCAAGTCAGAATCAAAGCTCTCCTGTGTATAAATCCAAACCCCTGGGATCCAATACAGAAAATCATCCCTCTCCTTTAGCTGAAAGTTGCCCCCGTTTTTGTCCTCTCCAGAAAATGACACCTAGGAAAGTGAGGCTGGGCACTCACTCTCAGGGTCTCTGTGTCCTGACTTTCCCAGGACTGAACCACCTGTGTGTCCCCTTCAGTTCTTAACGTCAGGCCTGGCATTTGGAGAAGACTGGCCTGGCTGGGTTAAAACAGCGGCCTCTGGTTGCCAGGAGTTACCCAGCACTTAACCTCACTCATTCCACCGTCCAATCCGCATATCTAGTTGGCCCGTCTCCTTCCTCCTCCTCCCCGCACCATGGACTCATCTGGCCACTGCATCCCCTGGGCCTCCCCTGGTTGCTTGTCACCCTCAGAGTTGCTGGGCCTTGAGTCCACGTAAGAGGAATAAAGGGGAGTCACAGTTTGGCAGTAAAGGCACTTCTGACTTCATTTTTGCAAAGGAAATTGTAACATTGAGAGCTTCCTTGAGAAGACCCAAAATGGACAGTTCCCCTACCTCCCTCCTTCTCTTGGTCCCACTGAGGCAGTGGTAAGTCTGGTTGGTGCCCTTTCTGCAGCCCAAGGTTTCATTCTTCCTTGAAGTAGGTGGTGACCTCCTAAGAGACTGTATTGCCTAGAAAAAGGACAAGTGTTTGCCTAGTCTTTATAAAGTGAGAGCATAAGAGGAAAGTAGTATATTGAACAATTTACCAAACCGATTCCAGAATTTTCTGCAAGACCCAGGAGCCCATACCTTTGTTTTGGGGAGCTGGAAATGTGAGCAGGGGCTAACTTAAAAAGGTGAGGATGCAAGTTAGGATTAAAACATAGTGCACTGGAGAGTTGAATCCATTATGTGTAGGTTACCAGTGCAAATATAACCCATTTTACTTCTGTTTCTAATCTATGACTGTGATTTTTATGAAACACAGCTGTAAGCAGCCACTTCCGAATTCTGGTTCACGAGAAGTTTTTCATTAAACACAATAGAGTGTAACAAAAATAAAATGAAGTCAATTTTACAAGACAGCACAAAGCAAAGGGAATCTGTTCCATTTCCGTCAGAAGACTCACATGAGACTAGAGTCATAACAGGGCATGGTCATGGCCACGCTAGTCACCCCCCAAACAAGGGCGCATACGCTGGAGCCAAGGCTGGGTCACTGCTGAATGGAAATGATAGGAACAGAAAGATGTGCTTCTTGGTTTCCTTTCCAAATAGTTTCTGCAACTGGATCTACTTTCCTCTCTCTCTCAGTAGGAAATATATATATATCTTTTTAGTAAGATGACTGTAATTATGTTTTTGTGGATAAAGACAGAAATTCCGTGCTAAATGTCATCATGTCGTGTTCCCACTGTTGGTCTAAGATGTAGAGAATCACAGAGGAGAAAAAGTGACCCCAGAGAAAGATGTAAGGACAGAAAGCCCTTGGGTGTCCGGGGACTTACCCTCCATGAAGTTGACATCATCCCGAGGAGCCCTAGGAAGTGTCCTAACTGGTGTGCCTAATCAAGGGCAGCAAGTCCCTCTTCCTTCCAAAGGGAGCTTTTCTATCCCACGTTACAGACAGACTGAGACAGGTGCGGGGTGGAATCAGAGACCAGAGTGGAGAAGGGGACTCGGTGCTGCCCTACCTTGGGCTTGTTAGGTGTGGCATAGAGAGGAGGCTCTAGACTGGATCTGGAGAAATTTGTTCAACTTTGTTTACCCTGGAGATTCTAATTGTATCAGAATCTGTTGGCTGCAACATTTTAAGAAAATTCAGCTGATGCTGTCCAGGTTAGGGTACTAGATAAATTACATTAACATTGGAAATGTAACTGTTTTTACAGTTGGCCTCTGCTATAGAAGGCTCAGAGGACGAGTATGGAAAATTAATACTTTTTCTCCTAAACTCAAGAACAAGGCAAGCTTGCCCTGGCCAGGTGGCTCAATTAGTTGGAGCATCATCCCATACACCAAAATGTGGGTTCCATCCTGGGTCACGGCACATACCTAAGGTTGCAGGTTCAATCCCCAGTGTGGGCATGTATGGGAGGCAAGCGATGAATGTCTCTTTCTCCCCCTTCCTGTTTCTAAAATCAGTGAACATATCCCTGGGTGAGGATACAAAAAAAGAAGGCGGCAGCAAACCTATTTTGGCAAGTTCCTCAGAAACTTTATTCCTAACTAAAGGCGTTTCAGCCCTTATTTAGATTTAGTGGGTTTTCTGTTTTGTTTTGTTGTTGTTGTTTTGTTTGCCTAATGCTTTCCCATGTCTATTGCCTGCTCCCTTGTCACAGAAGTTAGGAAAATTCCATCATCGTCACATCTTTCTGACACCTGTATCATGGCATCATTGTCATTACCATTGTCTCAACAAACAGCTTGGAAATACACAGTGGCGTCACTCCTCTGGCAGTTGGGAGGGAGTGGGGAATGATTTGCCGTTTCTAGAGCTGGCATCTCTGAGCCAGACCGAGGTCTGTGACAGTGCCGCTTGCTGCAGAGCGCTTTGAGAAGTCAGTCGCCTTTCATGGAAGTGGTATTCTCCAAGACTCACAGAGTCCCCTTCATAAATCATCTCCTTAGCCCGTTTCTATTTTCAGTCACAGCACCCTCTGGGGAGACAAGGTCTGGGTGCTGAGTGTGTACTTCTAAAGGCTGTATTTTTTTTTATTTCTCACCAGATTACTCTTTAAAAATTCAAAGGGCTGCCCCTTCATGGCAGTGGTTCAGGAACATCTAGAAGATGAGCCCTGCTCCCCTGCCCAGACTGCCTGCCTGAGTGAGCTCTGATCACGGCCCCTCCTTACCATTCCGTCCCCTCATGAGCGTGGTGCAGCCTTCACCGTGGCCCTTCTCTGGACCGTGGCCCTTCTCTGGACCATGGTGCTCCTAACCATTCTGTACCACAGACAGAAGCCGCAGGACTGGTGGAGCAGGGTGTTCTGTTCTATTTTCGAGAACCACCTCCATGGTTTGGTTGTGTGGCAGAATGTGTGACTGTGTCTTCAGGGTCCGCCACACCCAGCCCCTGAGCCACCAGAGCTGCATGCTTTACCCTTATGGGGGACAATCTGATGGCTCAGCTCCCAGTGCCAGGAGGAACTTGCCATTTGCTGGGCACAGCAGGCTCATTTTAGCATGGATAAAAACTTCCTGCGCTGTGTAGAGCCGGGACAACTTTATCCCATATCATTCATAAAAACTAGATGAGGACCTGTTACTCTCATTCTATCCTAAGAAATGTTCTCTTACCCCTGCCTTGTGTTTCCTATTTTTAAACCATTTCCTCTTCTTGAAAGAACAACTTTCTACTCACCCAACCATCCCTCCTCAAGGCAAAGTTTAGACTTTTGAAAGTCTAAGTCAGAGAGTTCAGTTACAGGAGAGATCTTTTAAACATCTATGACCCTGTGCCCCACCCCAGACGGAAGAGATCAGGATCTCTGAGGAGGGGACCCCAGTATCACTGTGGTTTAAAGGAACCCCTAGGGATTCTCTTGTGCACCCCAAGTTGTAAAACACTGCTCTAAATAAACTACATTTTCTGGTTTTTCCTCCAGAGTATTGGGGCATTGATCAGACCTGTTTCCACCTCAGATAAATGATGTTGAGTTCC